TAACGCTCATACTATTGCTTGGCGGCAGAATTGGATAAGTTGGCAGTACTTCACTGGACGAACTCTTTCACAAGGAACTTTACTGTTACTAAATGGTGCTTAACATAAAGTAATAATTGGTGCCTAATTGATACTAAGGAAGAATACACAATGTCACAATACGTCGCCAATATTGTCGCCCATATGATCATAAATCTACTGTGCCACCTCTTTTTTCAAGCTTCAATCCATAACACAGCAGTCTTGATTTGGGGTATATGTATGGCAGTAGTACTTTTCTACCCAACCGTATTCCTACAAAGAACTAGTAAATTATATTTTTGATGAAAAACGCTTGAATAACGTATTTCATAACTAAAGATTATAGACATCAAGAAGAAATCGGAAACCCAAAGTCAATGTATTAAAAATAATATAAAAAGGATGATACTTTCGCGAACAAACCAAGTTTATATTTTGCTAACAATTGATAAGAAGCTGATGTAAAAATGATTTCTTTGTAAGAAATGAAAGTGTACCAACGATTACACTTCTTTGACGTCGATTTCTTGGTCCCAAATCTAAGTATGTTGACATTGAGGTGTAGTTAAAGGTGAGTTCTTGATTTACGCTTAAATAAAAAATGCACAACAGTGATTTTCTACTATAAATCTCAAAACAAACACACAAATGGATTAAGTTTTATAGATAACTAACCTTATGAGGCATACGTTGCAATGACATGGAAAGAAATAACTAATTTGTATTTATTTACTTGTATTTATTTACAAAAATATCGTTAAATCAATTATGAAGATTTTCAAGTAACATTAATAAATATATTTAGTAATTGTAAAGCTAGCTCCTTATGAACGAGTTCGTCTAGGGAAATACTGTCAATTTACCTATTTCTGCCGCCAAGCAGTAATGTGAGCACTATCTACTGCGTTCCGGTTTTGAAAGGTAAGGGTGCTGGTGAAATTACAGGCACATGGGACATGTCAACTTGTCTCAAGGTGACGGGCGCTGTGCAATGCCCCTCAGATCTTCGTGATTTAAAGCTATGAGTGGCACTGCAACTGTTATGGACAGGCGTGTCGCTTACTTAGTATTATAAACAAGTCTTTTAGTTCTGCCAAGAATTGCCTCAAAGATGTTTTTAGAAGAAAGTCGTGCTTAACAGTGGGATCTAAAACTTTAAAAAACTTTTGTGTGCCTTATCACAACTCACGAAAATGTTGTCGCTACCAGATGAATAATAATAATAATAATAATGCGCAAATTCAGAAAACGATCCTGCTCGATACGGCGCGTATTATACGCCGGCTCTTGAACCTGAGTCCCTAACCCCGGTCGACTGTGCCATTGCATGGAAATACCGCCTCTCCCATTTAAAAATTTAAAATTAATCTTTTAGGCCTTGGAAGAGGCGAAAGTTTAAAATAGATATTATTATTAGATTTTAAAGAAACCATCTATCTACAATTACTATTTTAAATACACGCCGAATAGTCTGAAAGTTCATGCAGATATACGAAAATAAAAAAAATCCCTATCACAACACTGAATTTACTTGAGTGCGGTCCGTAAATATAGTTTGTGTTGAGATTTTGTGATATATAATAATAGAACGCATAAACATTAATTCTTAACCTATAGATAATTTAATATGCAAGCTATAGTTAAATATTTGTGTAAGTAGTTTTCAGGTTAATTTACTTGATTTCGGTGGGATGTTTTATTATTTAAATATTCTAAAATATCATTTAATATTCGAGTGTAGTATCCAGAAATATTATTTAATGTTTCACGACGGAATACTTAAATACCTAATAAAAATTTGCCACCGAAATTAGGTCGAAAAAACTAACCTGAAAATTACTCATTGAAAACGACGACCTCGGTGGCCAAACGGTTGGTACTGTGGGCACTGGATAAAGAAAACCCGGTTTTTTTCCCGGTAGAACGTAGAACCAATTTGGGAAATGAACTTTTCTGAATTAGTTCTGATCTAAGTGTTCTGAGGAGTGCCCCAAAGTGAATTCCGTTACTCTGATACTTACCTATAGTACAGGGAATTCCTTAGATTAAGGACCAGGCAATTTATGTCTGGCATGTTTTAGAAGTTTGACATCCCGCACTGGGCCAGCGTAGCTGACTATGAACTAAAGCCACATCTGAGAGGAGCGCACAGCAGTGGAACGTATAAATGGGTCATTGATGATGATGACGAACTATCGCCGCTTTTAAATTACTAAATGACTTATTAATTCTATATGTGCATGTCTATGTGAGATTATTTTAAAAAACACATTAGGTATATCTAGTTTGGTCTGTATAATAATATACCTTCAATGTTTGTATGCCTAATGGTTGACCGGACACTGTGAAATTGTGTGTGAAAACTGACTTGTGTTTTCATAAATACATGCAATATGAACTGTATAAAAATTTGTATATTGGAAATGAAACTATTTTTCCGGATTTCAATCACGTATGTTTGTTTTTTCAAACAAACCAACGTTTCGGGCCCTTTACAGGTCCCATGGTCACGGTTGACTATGGTGCCTATAAGGGGCCCGAAACGTTGGTTTGTTTGAAAAAACAAATATAGCTATGTGACTTAAATCCGGAACCATAGTTTCATTTCCTATATGTAACAATCGCGAAAACCTAAGAATAAAAAAATTGTACTTATATATGAAACTATTTTTTCGGATCTAAATTGCGTATATTTGATTTTTTTTAAGCAAACCAACGTTTCAGGGCCTTTACAGGTTCTGTGGTCACAGCTGATTAAGTCATCCAAAAAATACAGAAAAAGTTGTTTAATTTCCTATGTAGATATACCTAACAATTGCGAAAATCTAAGAATTCTAAAAGTACGGTTGTGTTGGTACTCTACTACATAACACTAACGTCGTGAATAGATTGTGTTAGTGTATTTATTTAATCGATGTTATTGTGTTGATGTTTATGAGTTCATTTTATTGTTTAGAGCGCTACCTTTTAACTTTGTCAACACACTTTATTTTATTTTTTTTATAATAGAAAGTGAGGGGACGAACTAATCGTGCACCTGGTGGCAAGCGACACGCCTATCCATAACAGTTGCTGTGCTACTTAGAGCTCTTAATCGCAAATGTCTTAGGGGCACTGCCACTGTACCCGTCACCCTGAGACATAAGTTGACAAGTCCTATGTGCCTGTAATTTCACCAGCACCCTTACTCTTCCAAAACGGAACACCGTAATGCTCACATTACTGCTTGGCGGCAATAATTGGCGGTAACGTAACGGTAACAGATACAGGTAAAAGGGTACTTCCCTGGATGAACTCTTTCACAAGTAGCTCAACTACTATTAAATTTGTTATTATGATGAATCTTCTTGTTATAGTACCTCGCGACTACTGGAGGTTGGCGGTTATTATAGCAAATTTGTCCCCGTCCAAGGCCAAGCGAAACAGTTGTTCTGCGTTCGTGACTCCGGTCCACTCCCTTATGTTGCGTAACTGTGACTTTTTACGTCTTGCTACGTCTCTTTTTGGCTTGCCTTCAACCTTCCCCATCATTATAATTATAATCAATAAGTTGAAGGATAGTGTTGAAGCACGTGACCGTGATATGTTGTTTTGCGCTTGTTGATAGTCCGCATCAGCTGGCGTTAGGTGCTTGACTTTCTGCATCCAGCTGCCGCTCGCTGCTCGCTGCCGTATGTACATAACGATTATGGTGAATAGTATAATTAAAAATTTTGAATGCTGCATTTGTAACCCTGTGTAATATACTTACAGTTATTAATTAAATAGAGATAGACAGTACTCGACTATATGAATTTCAAAAAAGTAAGACTGGTATGTATCTCAAACTAGGGAGTTTTGTGTACTATGAGAATCAGACCAACGAAATTCACTTCTAGGTACTACAAACGAGACAGGAGCCTTGAACCCGGTATTCCCTCGTCCAGCGCGTATAGCTCAAATAGTTGGGCCACCTAGATCGTCACCATACTAATTACTATGCACACTTTGTGTAGGTTATTAAAAAGTATTTGCGTAAATGTGTTTAATTAAAATCTGGAGTTTTTAACATTTTAAAGTTTCATATAAATGTACCTATGTGAAACACAGTTGACACTTTGCGATCCCTTATCTATGGTAGAATTGTAGGTAAGTATATCTTATCTGTAGCGTAGATAAATCGGAGGGATGAGCGAGTGTGGCGCCACCTGTCACGCCGACTGGAAACTTCGACGCGCTCTGCTTACAGGCCCTTACCAAAAGCTACTTTCCCAAATGATTAAAACAAGCACCATCTTTCTTTTATAAAACTTAGTCATTTTGGCAAGGAAATTCGCGTAGTTGGTTCCCGCCTGGAACGCATTTGCAAGGCTAATTGCTAATGATAAATCGACGCTTAGTTATCACCACGTAATCAATTACACAAGAAATTACAAAAACTATTGCTTGCAAAAAAATAAAATTTTAGATAAACGTTACACGAGTTCCTTTAGGGTACCTATTTACATTTCGTTACAATAAAAAACGCAATTTCATAAACTCTACAGTCATTGGCCACAGGTGTTAATGTATATTCTTAACTCTACTTGCTTCGTAAATCTGACGAGGAGAAACAGCTTGTCCTCGGCCGAGCCATTTTTTGCCACTAGAGATTTGTTTGCTCGTGGTTCAGCGTTCGCCGACTGTCTCGACGGAAACCCATAAACATGATCAAGTCGGTCGACTCTGCCGCTTTTTTCCAGCGCCCCACCCGAACGTGGGCGGAATTCTTCCACTGGGCGGAGCTATTGAATAGAGGGGATATATTCCACCAACCGCAACGAGTTTTTCGAAGCGAAGTTTCGAAAAGGATAGAAAATGGACTTTTCCATTGGAAGCGAAATTACGACTCCGCCCAGGAGGCGGAGCGAAATTGGCTCTGTCCTCCGGCGGAGGGGCGTCAGGCGTGTGTCGCGCGCCAGTCGGTGTCGAGAGGCGAACGCGTAAAGAAGGTATAGGCCGGTTGCACACGCTCCCGAGATCCGGCATGCGAGGTGCGCGCGCTCCGGCCCGCTGACGCGCGCGCAGGGATGGCAGCGCGTTGCGCAGCCGCAGCGCATACACCTACAAACATCTGTGATACATTAACTTAATTTCGTACTAGCCGTAGTAATTGTAGGAAACCAATACGTCCGTGCTTATAGACTTCTAGAGACAGTGTTTGTGTGAAGCCGCCCATATGATCGTCCCCATGGCAGCATACGCACAATTTGGCTACTCATATCCGCCCGCCTCGCAGGTTAGTACCTAATAGTGGTTAGATTATGCTTACATTTGGCACTCAGCCACACAAGTGTTATTAAACATAATTTCAAGTTAACGTGTTAATTTCCTGTGAAGTAAAACGCAATGTACTTACCTAAGTAAACAGAAAACAGAACGACAAACGACACACGGTTACTTTATAGAATTATAGATTGACAACAATTGTCTGTCTACAAACTTTCCGTTCAAACTGCACCTTATTATTTCAAATTCTGGTCCAAAGTTCATTTAAATAACACGTTAGTTAGTATGCGTATCATTTTACCTACATTTGAAAAGAATATAATAATTCTTGTAAGATTATTCTCTTGTAAATAATTTTACAAAGCATTTGAACACTTTCAGAAAAGAGAAACAGGATAAAAAATAATTCGAAGAAGTTTCCAATTTTAATACAATATTAAAAAGCCAAAATCACAATTATTTAATACAGTTCACCGATATTTTTCAGAAATTGATCCTATTGATCCTCCAAGTGTCATTGTTACAATGTAACATTTGTCAAAGTGAATGCGAATAATAGAACAAGATATTCAGTGTTATTTTTAAACGAACTTTGTTGTAAAATATGCGTGAACATATTAAATTACGAGAATGTAATGTTAAAAGGTTTTTTCTCCAATTATATGAAGCAGGTAGCCGTTTTCTCGTTATCTCATGACATTGCGATCACCTGTTGACACTAATCCGTCGGCGGATGGCGGCTCCACCCGCGACCAGTTTATACATGACTTAAGTAGGTGCGAACGCACCTGAGGACAGAAAGGATATTTTTATGAGATATTTAATAAGTGCTACAATGTGCGTGTTATTTAGTAATTATAAAAAACAAAGATCTGTGGAATCACATTTATTTGCAAAGTTTTATTCAAATCGGATACGGAAATTGAGTGAAATCCAATTAGCCGGATTCATCCCCTAATTGGCCACCTTTGGAGGAGAATATTTTCTTCAATTTCCAATGAAATCAACACTCATGTACCCAGTTTCCAACGAAAAATAGAATAGTCGAAATCGGTTCACAAATGACGGAATAATCGCTTAACTTAGGTACCTACACACAAAGAAAAAGAAAAAATACAATCGAATTAAGAATTTCATCTTTAAAAATTAGTCATTTTCTTGAATATACAAAAATGATAAGTACATGACAAGTTTGTGAGGGATTTTTAGAAGTTCTATATCTTAGAACTCGGGTTTGTTTTATTAAGCGAAATACATACTGTAGAATAACCAAAAATTCAAATATGATTGGATATATAATGTATATTATACTCCTAATAGTGTACATTATACATATAAATAAGTAAATATTAATAATAACATTTATACATTTTAGTTAAAACACAATGAAGGCAAACAATGCACTATATTAAAATATTAGTTGGTGAGTGACGGCACTTCGTGTGCGTAGAATTGCCTACTGTAGTTCTCCATACAAACTCTCACCCCCTATTTCATCCTCAAAGTTTTATTTTTAAAACCACCAAAATTTAACAAATTTCGTTCAGGTTTAGGCGTTAACGCAACAGACAGAGTTACTTTCACATTTATAATATTAGTTTGGATTAAATCTATGGTTGTACCTAGGTACATGCTACTTAATTATAAAGTATTTAAATTAAACCGACTCCCCTAACACTCCCAAATCCCCAACTGAGTGTATATAACCTTGTATTCTGGTGTTCAGTATTCCTCCACTGGCTATCACTAGATACATACAACCAAGAGTACTTATCAAACACAATATTTACTGTGGTGTTAAGTACGTATAAAAAAGTAATAATATAAAAAAAATCAAATTAGAAAAAAAAAATATGTTTACACACTAACTTGTAAAATTATTATAAACTTAAAATGAGATTCTTATTAGTTTATTGAATCAAATACCGTATTGTTTATATTAAATAGCATTTTTAAATAAGTATACAATGTAACTATTTATGAATGAAGGTTTTTTTTCATGACAGTTCATCCGATCGTTGCAACCCGCTATTGAATTGAAACCTGGTACAACTGTACACTCTTTTTTTAAGTTCAGAAGTTAAAGCGTTTCACGGAATTAATATAATAACTGAAATCTGTTTATACTTACTAAAAGTTATTTTACTACAAATTATGTCCTTCCTGAGCAATTAATCTTGCGTACTTGTAAATGTACATGATTTTAATAGACTTAGGGATACTAAAACCAATAGGGATCTTATGTTACTTCTTAAAATATTTGAAAAATAGACAAATACGCATTCACACGTGATATTAACATGTCAATAACATACTTTTGACGTTTCATTCTCTCTATTCTATATCTTTACACCTTTGTTTTATAAGTATATTGAACCCATTTGATATTAAGAAAATTCCTTTTAAATAATGACGTCGATGCCCTTACAAAAAATAGTTGATTTAATAGTAAAGATCTTCATGTAAAATTAAATATTTTTAGTAGCAGTAGAGCTCCGTGTAGTACTGCCACCTTACCTATTTCTGCTGCCAAGCAGTAATGTAAATATTACTGCCTTCCGGTTTGGAAGGGTAAGGGGCTGGTGATATTGCCTGTAACATGTCAACTTATGTCTCAGGGTGACGGGCACAGTGGCAGTGCCTCTCGGATCTTTGTGATTTAAAGCACAAAGTGGCACTGTGACTGTTATGGATAGGCCTGTCGCTTACCACCAGACACACGACTGGTTCGTCCCGTCACTTTGGTATCATAAAAAAATATATGGGTTCGATGTAAAGCGACCTACCTAATAATAAGATAAAGTTAAAAGTTGAGGTCTCATTTATCTTAAAAATATCTACTTTTGCTTTATTGCAGTGATTTAAGTAATTGACTTTTTAAGTTACTTCGCAAGGTAGTGCTGGAAAATAAAGTTTAGAGTACTTACCGTTGATAGAGTTTCGTGTAAACGTCTCTATACTGCAAGAACTCGGCGTCGAACAATCTCTATCCGTTTTGGTACAAACTTGCATCCTGAAATCCTTCGATCACGTAATATTTTCTCTAATAACATCTTGCTGTAAATACGTGGTAGAAGGCACTAAACTAAACGAATCTAATACAGCCTCCAGTGGGCGGTGCTTAATATGAGTGAACCAGGTAATCCACGTACAGAGAGAGATTGTGTCATACAAATGTACTTTATGATGACCACGACCTATCAAATTCACTACAAATAAGAAAATGTAGTGTACTTAAACAGGCATCACAGATGAGGATGATTTTGATTATGCCATCATCGCCACGCACGGAATGCGGGTTCTTGATGAGAGATGCTGTTGCCTGTCCTGGTTTTTCTCTCACTATCATAAATTCATTTGTTTGTGGAAGCACTGTCTATATGGAAGTTTCACAGTGCCCGGCCAAACATTAGCCACACAGATATATCGAAGGCTTAATGAGAATTGAGTTGAATTGACTTAACACTAAACTTATCAGAAATTTAGCTGTAGAGCTCCTAGTAAAAGAGTTCGTCCAGGGAAGTACTGCCGCCTTTCCTATTTTTGCTGCCAAGCAGTAATGTCAGCATTACTGTGGGTGTGGGTGCTGGTGAAATTACAGGCACATGGGACTTGTGAACTTATGTGTCAGGGTAACGGGCGCAGTGGCAGTGCCCCTCAGACCTTTGCGATTTAAAGCACCGAGTGGCACTGCAATTGTTATGGACAAGCGGGTAGCTTACCATCAGGCGCACGACTTCTTCGTGCCGTCACTTAATATTATAAATCAAATTTAACTAGGTTTCTACGGCGCTTAGGAAAACTTATTAAGAGGAGAATCGGAGACGGTTGGGCATTGTGGTTAGCACTCGACGGACTGGGTGGTGTGATGCAACAGTATATTGGCCGCTCCATCGTCAAAAGAAGCCTAGATACCGTATAAACCTACCAACATTACAACTTGGCGGCACAAATAGGTAAGGTGACAGTACTTCTTTCCTACGTGGACGAATTTTTTCACAAGGCTAAGCAAAGTTCTACTGTTACAAAAAATATACAGTTCCTTAAATTTAGATTTTAAAAAAGGAGACAACCCTGCGAGCGTTCTTATAAATAAAGCTGTTATAGATATTACTAATCAAATGAGATTCGGTAGATACGCACATCAAATGAATATTGAGGATCGTGTCTTGGTCCCGTTGCATTAAAAAACATACTCCGGCTCAAAAACTATTCATTTCTTACAGAAAAGAGGTCAAATTAAAACGACATATCGATGCGTTATTTTCTCAAGCTCGTATTTTAAAAAGAGTAATTATTCAGCAGGAAATGGCAAAACTTTCTATTTATTTTGAATTTCTTATCAAGGGATTTAATTTTGATAGATTACTTTAAGAATAGGTGGAAAATGAAAAGCCAGTGTGTAAATATGAAGGAAATGTGACGTGAAATCAGTCTGCAAAATTTGTATATACAATACATTTTTTGCATTTCAATAGAAAGTTATTGACACGAGTTTGAAAAAGTAAGGCGACAATATTCTATTGTTTTACAAAACCGTCACAATAGATAAATCAATGAATTCCTTGTATTATAAAGTTATAAGTACGTACGTAAGTACGCAAGCACAAGAACTCTTACTATTTGAATGGGTATCTAACGGCAAAAGCCCGTCGCGAGGTCTGGTGTTTACAGTCCATAGTTGTATTTACTTTAAACGCTTAATATTTCCTATATATCAGCTGATAGGTAATTACCTAAGTATATAATATACATATACATACATATGCATTACACCTACATTAAAGTTATGTTGTTATGTAAATTTTGCCTATTAAGTAAATTATGGCCCTCTCTGCGTATGGGAATAATCATATATTTTTTCTTAATTGTACTTCTTCAAACTTCATGTTGTTGTTAATGAATTATAAAAATTGGAAAGAAATATATTTTTATTTATTGACGTGCATTTTGCTGCGTTTATTGTACCCTTAACACATTAATAGGAAATATGTACCTATTCATTTCGGC